CCGCCCCAGCCTGGGCTGCAGCTCCCCTTCGGTTCCAGTCCTGGCCGTCATGGTGGCTGCACCTTTCACACCTGCTCGGTCCTCCACCCCTCGTCCTGCCCAGGAGAGCCCGGAATAGCCAGCAAGAGAAGGCTGACACCCCTGGAGACTGAGGCCCCGTAGTGACCGAGACCAGCCTGGCACCCAGAGCTGGAGCAGAGATGGTGCGTGCGGCGAGGCTGTCGGGGTTCCTGGAAGAGGCGGGTGGTGTTGGGGTACCAGGGGGCTCCTCCTCCCCGCCACAGGGCAGGGCAGGGCGGGGATGGGCCTGTGTGCGTGGTGCTATCACAGAGAGAATCGATGCTTGGCACTGGCCCAGTGTTTAAGGGAAATGAATAGATTTTGGCTGAGGACAAAGAGAGTTTGATTAATCAGAAATTGGATAATGGAGGCAACACTCTATTTTTCTTCCCAGCATTTTATCGAGAAATATGTTTGCACAGCACATCGGAAGTAACGGAAGGCTGTGAGCAGGGTGGGGGAGGGGGGCAGCCGCGCTGGAGCCCAGCCCAGCCCGGGGATGGGGCTACCGAAGCCACACGCACTGACAAGCCAGCTGGTGGTCACCTCATGGGGCCACAGGAAGCCAGAGGGGATGGGTTGGGCAGGCCAGAGGTCACACACAACTGGGGCAGCTGGGGTCAGAGGTTGTGCCACAAAGAGGTGGGCAGGGGAGGGGCAGGCACACAGCCAGGTCCTTAGCTCGGTGGTGGATGGCCGCAAAGCCGGTTCCTCATGTGGAGACGGCTCCGTCCCCAGCCTGGCCCCCTCCCCGCCGCTCCACCCTGCCCATGGCCTTCTTGGTCACCCCCTCCCTCCTCCTGTGCTGCCCCCTCCTACGACGCCGAGAGCCTACGCCACACAGGTTAGGGGAGCAGGTTTCTGTGGGCATCTGGTCTCCCGACCGATCCCACAGGCGCCTCTGTGCGGGCCGGGCTGGGCCCAGGCTCCCTCCCTCACCCAGGCACAGACACTGAACAATGACCCGCGTTGCCAGTCAGACTCATGATGCCGCTGGGGAGCACGGAGGAGGACGTCGGGTCCTCCCCTAACCTGGGGTCAGGGTGCATGTCCTGAAAGATGGGCCACGTAAAGGGAGATGAAGGATGAGCGGAAGCTACTGGGCAAGGCTGAAGGCGTGGCAGGGGTGGCCAGTCCCGGGCGACACCCCCAAAGCCTGCCTCCCGGGCGAGCACCCTCAAAGCCTGCCTCCTGGGTCAGTACCCCCAAAGCCTGCCTCCCAGGCGAGCACCCCCAAAGCCTGCCTCCCGGGTCAGTACCCCCAAAGCCTGCCTCCCAGGTGAGCACCCCCCAAGTCTGCCTCGGTACCTCCTGCAGACAGGGCTCAGCGACCACGACTGCTCTCCTTGAGCCACAGCGCAGCCGCAGACCCTTCTCCACGCCGTGCGCTGGGCAGCCGCCCGGGAGTCGGTATAAGAAGCGAAAACCGTCTGCACCCTTGACCGGGACCGATGGAAAGAGGACGCTGAGGTCTGGAGATTGGAGAGGACGATGCGCCAGCGTCAGTGGCACAGACAGGGCCGGGACTAGAACCCAGGGCTCCTGACTGTCCATCCAGCGCCCTGTCCCCCGCACTGAGCTGCCCGGCCGAGCTGCTCCTGGCGCAGGGGCCACCGGGAAAGGCCATCCCACCATCACAGGCTCCCGTGGGCACCGGTCCTTTCTCCTGCCAGGATCTTCTTTCCCATGGATGTGCCTCTCTACGTCCCCACTCTGTGGATCCCCCGAGTCGGGCCAAGGCCCCCCCAAGTCATTCCATGTCACCGAGGGGCCAGGTGTCAGCCCGAGGCATCCCATCCCGGATGCCGGGACCTGGGCCTGTGGTACCAGCATGAGAACCCGTCGGGCAGCCCGCCTGCCTCTGGCTCAGGAGTGAACCCGTCGGGCAGGCCACCAGAGGGGGGTGCCACCCGGGCTGTGCACCTTCCCCGGGGCCCAGTCGGTCACCCACCTGGGAAAGCCCCTGTCTCCCCAGGTCCCGGTCCTGGGGGAGAAAACGGAGGGGAAACAGCCCCTTCTTGGCAGAGCGGAGGGTAAAGTGAGCTTCTGTGCCCCCAGCCCCGCCGTGACCCAGCAGTCCCCTGCACCCCGAGAACGCCTGGGCGTACACTTGGGCTCCGGGGGACGGTGCACTGGGGCCCTCTCTCCTCCACTCAACTCGGCCGTGACCTCCGGACTCAGGGGCAGGCCTCGGGGGGAGGTCAGCTCCCACCCCCCAGGACTGGGGGTGCTCAGTGGGCAGGGTCCCTTCCTGGAGGGTCTGCTCCGACCACCACCCAGGACAGGCCCTCGGGGAGACACCGGGCGGGTTTCTGCTTAGAGCAGCGGTTCTCAACCTGTGGGTCGCGACTCCTTTGGGGGTCGAACGACCCTTTCGCAGGGGTCGCCTAAGACCATCGGAAAACACATAAGTAACTACGTATTGTTTTTGTGATTAATCACTATGCTTTCATTATGTTCAATTTGTAACAATGAAAATACATCCTGCATATCAGATATTTACATGATGATTCATAACAGTAGCAAAATTACAGTGATGAAGTAGCAACGAAATAATGTTATGGTTGGGGGCCACCACAACATGAGGAACTGTATGAAAGGGTCGCGGCATTAGGAAGGTTGAGAGCCACTGGCTTAGAGGCTCCTGGAAGGAGCGTGGGGCCTGACGAGGTTTGTAAAGACCCTCCAGGCCCGGCCGGTGTGGCTCAGTGGCTAAGCGTTGACCTATGAACCAGGAGGTCACGGTTCGATTCCGGTCAGGGCACATGCCCGGGTTGCGGGTTCGATCCCCAGCGGGGGATGTGCAGGAGGCAGCTGATCAATGAATGACTCCTTCTCATCACTGATGTTTCTGTCTCCTTTTCCCCTCTCCCTTCCTCTCTGAAATCAATTTTTAAAAAATTAAATAAAAAAAAGACCCTCCCCGCACCATGGTTTTAACAGCCTCGCTTCGTAGCACTTTTTGGTGGATCCTCCCAGGGATGTCTCTAAGAGAGTTCCACCCTAATTTAGAAGCAGACAACTCAGAGCTCTGTGATGTCGCAGGCTCCTCTGAAAAGAGACGAACGCAAGGAAGCCATTGTTGGGTGAGGCTGCCCACTGCGCCTGCCCAGGTCCTGACCACAGGACGAGAAGGCCTGCAGCTCTTGGGCTGTGGCTCCCGCCAGAGGCCGCG